GTAAATACTGTGTCGCCTGCCTCTTGTGTCCTGCCGGTCCCTGTGCCCCAGCCCAGCCCTCAGTCCTGGCATGGGATGTGGTGTTGGAGGGAGGGAAGAAGGAAAGCCCCCGGCTTCCCAGCTGGAACATGCCGGCACAGTTGGGATGCATCCCCCAAGGAGGCATCAGTGAGGGAAAGGGCTAAGGGTGAGACAGCCCGCCCCAAAACACCCCTGGGTGCTTCCCTTCCTGGTGCTGGGGCACAGCCAGACCTGCAGGGACCCGGCTCCAGTCGCTGGTCCGGGAGGATGGGGCCTTTGAGTGACAGCGAAGCTAAACGCTGGGTTTTCCAGGGGGTTTAAAGGGCTATTGCCCAGTATTTCTTAGGAACGGCTTATGCTGAGGGAGCTGAAGTGAACTTGCTGGGGCTGGGTGGAAGGATGCCTGTGTAGATTTAGGATAACAAGCCAGGGAGTCTCTCTCTCTCTCTCTCTCTCTCTGTGTCTCTCTCTCTCATTCATTCATTCTTTGTTTCTAGATAGGAAAAAACCCAAAACCTGCACTCCCAAGCAGCTGCCCTTGTCCCTCTATTTTTACTTGGGACTGGAGTGAGCATCTGCTATTCAGCACACACTTTTTCTTTTTTTTTTGTGAGTAAATTACAATATATATCTTGCTTTGTAAAGGCCCTGACACACACATCCCCCTCTGCCCACACACACATTTGTATAGATTAAATCCAAGTGATTCCAGGCGCTCTGAGAGGTTTTGCGCTGGATATGCCGCTCTGAGGAGAGATGTGCCTCTGCTGTTATTTCACCTGTTGATTTCTTTCTGTATAGAACATACCAATGCTGAGAATAAATAACTTCCCCGTCGCCTAAGCAAGGAGATTTTATTATTTTCTTCCTTTTTCTTTTTTTTTTTTTCTTTTTAATATGGATACCATTTGCAGAGCAATTGTAAAAATCCTCTCCTTACAGTAAAAGTCTCGGGCTTTCCTTAAATGAAATCAAGGGGGGGAGATAAAGCACCTCCCAATTTCTGGCAAATGCTTCCGAGTAGCAAACAGCCTCCAGATCCCAGGTCCTCTGTGGGGTTAGGTTGAATAGGGTGGAGGACAGAGGTTCCCTGGCAAGCGTGGGGTCTGGCTGGGAGCACCCTGTGCCTGCACCGCACAAGCCAGGCAGCAAAGCTGGGATGGGACCAGCCCCTGGTAACTGCCGGCACACGCCAGAAACACCAAATGGTGCTGGAGAAACACCGCATCGGGGTCCCCACTGCTGACACCCCCTCGTCTGGGGACTTTGATCTGGATAAGGAAAAGCAAAAAGCCCAGCTGGCTCTGGAGGAAGGGGAGCACTGGGGTTTGTTGCTTTTTCCCCCTTTTTGGCTCCACATTTCAGATCCCGAGTGCAAAGGGCACAGGTGGTCTTTGCAAATTAAGCCCCTCATGACTTTGCAGGGAGTTTGATGTGGCAGTGGAGGAGACAGGGGAAGGACCCCCGTTGGAAAGTCGGGGGTTGGGGTAGCGTGCACGTGGATGTGTATGGGGGGAGCAAGGGCGCACGAGAGAGAAGGAAACACACCTGCATGCAAAGCCAAGTAACTGTAAAAATGCTACCTGTTTTCTGTTAACATCCGAGGGTGTTCTGCTTTTTCATGTAAACCTTGCACACGCTGGCTCTCATCTGCAGTTTGTACTTTTTGTTTTGTTTAGGAATCAGGAAATTTTCTTTTGTGTTTTTCTTTTTCTCTTTTGGAAAAGCTGAGCTGCATAAAGTTGGAATAAATTAAATGGGATGCCAGAAAACTGTCATCTTCCCCCTCCCCACTCCCCTCTGTTCACAGGACATGTTTCCTGATGCATCACACGCAAATTTGGGCCTGTTCAGCTTTTGTCCTGGAAGTGTTTAAACAGTGGGCCGGACAAGCGGCAATGGGAGTTGGGCCTTTTATCATTACTGGTCTCAGCTGGATGAGCGGGGAGGAACTGGTGTCGCTCATCCGCTGGCCTGCTACGTTCCTGCTCCACGCGTGGTACCTTGTAAGTCTGCAAAATGCAACTCTGCCCTTGAGTCCTCTTGAGTTGGCATCTGGCCAGCACGTGTGCAGAGACCATCTCCCTGCCTGACAGCAGCTATATTTGGTGGAAAAGGGTGGCTGTGTCCCGCTTTACTGGGCAGAGAGGTGGGCAACGTGAATGCCCTGTCCGGTGTGATGCTCGTGGAGCTCCCTGAGCTGCCGAGAGGCTGCGTGAGAGCAGTGGTTTCCTGCTCCTTGAGCAGGGGAGCAGCTTTGCTCGGGAAGGTCCCTCCTACCCTACTCAGGGACCTTGGCAGATGCTTGGGCAAATGCTGTAAGGAGACGGGAGCTCTGCTCTTTCCAGCTTCCCAAACTTGGTATTTCAGGTGCTTCTTGTGTTGGCAGTTGCATCCAACTGTGCTGTTTATTAGCCAGCAGATACACCTGTTCTCCATGAATCATCCAGGCTCCTTTAAGCATCTCGTTATGGTTTTGGTCTCCTCTGCACCCCATGCAAAGAGTTCCTCAGCTGAGCAGGGTGCTGCAGGGAGAAACCCTCCATAGGTTTCCACGGAGGACCCTCCAAGGGCTATCCCCTTTGCTTGCTCAAGGAGAGCAAAATTTGAGCCAGCCAAAAAGCCAGCCTTAGTGTTTCCCTGTGAAGTCTTTGCCCAGAATGGGCTGCTGGGAAGATGCAGGGAGGCCTGGGCTGCCTGTGGGATCAGGGCTTGGCTGAGCTGCTCCACTCATGGGGCTGTGGAGACAGGTCCTGCACCTTCTCCCAGGGTGAGAGGTGCTGTCTAAAGGAGCGTGACAGTGCAGCTCAGTGCTTGGGGCACCATGGGGAGGCAAAGAACAATAGTAATAAAAAAAACCCCAACCCATACTGCATTGAATTAAAATTGCAGCCTTGAGGGAGAGGACGCTGTGTGGTGCCTGACTGCCAGCATCCAGGTGACTGGATCCAGGCAGCCTTGAGGGAGAGGACCCTGTGTGGTGCCTGACTGCAGCATCCAGGAGACCTTTGGCCTCCCCAAAGGAAGGCAAAACCACCGGGCTGCTTCCCCATCTGTTTTTTCCTACCCCATGCCAGGCTGTTGAGTGTGATCGATGCATGCCAAGGGCTGGGCAGTGGCGGGGAGCACCAGGAAAATGTATGGGGACAGGAGGCAGCGAGCGCATGGGACTGCAGGAGGGGAGGACAGCCAGGATGGGGGTGGGGATGTAAGCTGGAGAACATCAGAAAAGGAGCAAAACTAACGTTTAATATCATCCTGGTTTTTTTCCCCTGGGGGGAGCTGAAGGCAGCTCAGGAGGGGGGTATGCCGCAGGGGGTATGCCAATAGCACTGTGGAGCACAAAGATGCTCCAAGGTGCTGCCCAGGGAGGGCTGGGGGTGGCAGAGGTGCCCGAGCCCAGAGCCCAGCCATGCCTGGGGCCATGCTGTGGTTCAAGGGCTGGAGGTGGCCTTTGCACCTGAGTGAAGAGCCTGAGGAGGACAGGTGCCCTTAGCCCAGCAAAGGGGACTTGCAGCTGGCCAGGCTCCTTGCAGAGGGGCAGAAACACAGCAGTAAGGCAAGGGGAGCAAAGAGCTTCTGGTTAGGTTTCCCCAGGGTTGCAACACAGCCTTGAAGCCTGCGTGTGTATGTGCATGTGTGATGGGTGTCACTGCTTGGATGCTGGCTTTGGGGTTTCTTCTGGGCCACCTTTGTGCCTCCTGTACTCTGGGTAATGAGGTGTGCGGTCGGGCATCGGGACCTGGCCAGCAGCACGTGGGGTGTTGAGCCGAAACCCCATCAGCTCTGATGTACACACACAAAACTATCTACGCTGGCAAACTACAGTTTTAGTGTAGCATAAAAATTATGCACTAGTGTAATATAAATAATATTATTTCATATAAATAGCTAGTATAAGGCTGTATGGCTGTACCTATGTATAACTATAGCTTGTGGGTAGGGGTATGATTACTAGCCCACTAGCTGGGGGCAGGGGGCAAGAACACTAACTTTTTGGGTGGAAA